AGGAGCACATAATCAATTATTTCACCTATGGGAAAAATTCCCTCTCACAAGGTTAGAAAGGAGACTCACCTCGCTCCGAAGATCCATAACCGGCATTCTACGCCCTTCCGAAGACTCTAATTGATGCACCACGCTCCAAAACTAGCCAACGGTTACACAAATCCATTAATATATGCCCATTTAATCATTACAATCTAATTTTATAGAAATTCCTAACTCCGATCGAAAAGTTGACCAAAACGCCCTCGGGCCCACGTGCCCGGAATCCAAAAATTTTTGAAGATAAAGATTACCCATGACCTTAGGAACTCAAATATATAATTTTCACTAAATTCCATACTCAATATCGTGGCCAAATTCCAAGAAATGCAAATTTCTAGGTTTTCCACCAAAACCTAAATTTTCCATAATTTCCTTGCCTAAACCCATGTATAAACTTGATATTTAACTCAAAGCTAGCATGAATTACTCACCTCTTGACAAGTGACGAAAATGGCACCTCAAAGCTGCTCCCCATCGACTCCAATGGAAGAAAAATGGGGTTGAAATGAACTCAACCCCGAACTTAAAAGACCTCACTGCTCCAGCTGTTTCCGCACCTGCGGTTCCTTGGTCGCTTCTGCGGTTCCGCAGGTGCGGTTAAAATGCCGCATCTGCGGTCTTTCCTAAGCCAACCCTTTCTCGCTTCTGCGACTTGCCACCCGCAGATGCGGTCCCGCTTCTTCGGAACTTTGACCGCATCTGCGGTCCTCTCCAAGATACTCCCATTCGCTTCTGCGACACATTCTCCGCAGATGCGGTTCCGCTTCTGCGGTACCTTGACCGCATCTGCGGTCCTCAAGCCTTGGACCAAAACTCGCCTCTGCAGCTCCCTGTCCGCTTCTGCGGTGCCGCTTCTGCGGTCAACCCACCGCAGAAGCAAAAATACCAGCAACCAGATTCCTTCAGCTGTCCACAAATCCAAATTTCGATCCGTTAACCACCCGGAATCCACCCGGGGCCCCCAGGACCCCAACCAAACATACTAACCAATCCTAAAATACATTACGGGCTTGCTCGAGGCCTCAAATCGCATCAAACAACGCTAATACACCCCGATTCAAGCTTTATGAACTTCGAAATTTCAAGCTTTTACTTCCGATGTTTAAACCTATCAAATCACATCCGATTGACCTCAAATTTTGCACACAAGTCATATTCGACATTACGGACCTATTGCAACTTCCGGAATCAGATTCCGACCCCGATATCAAAAATTCCACTCCCGGTCAAACTCCTCAAAACCTTCAAATTTCTATCTTTAGCCAAATGACTCCAAAATAACCTACGGACCTCCGAATTCACTTCCTATCGCGCTCCCAACTCCAGAATCACCCTACGGAGCTATTCACAGTCTCGGAATCCCAAACGGACATTAATAAAACTGAAATGCACTTCAAGCCAAACTTATGAAATTTCTTCTAAAATGCTAACTTCCACCATAGACGCCAAAACGCTCCCGGGTTATCCAAAACCTGATCAGGGCATACGCCCACGTCCGAAATCATCATACGAATCCGTTGGATCCTTCAGATCCCGATTCCGAGGTCGTTTACTCAAAATTACAATCCTAGTTCATTCTTTCAACTTTAAGCTTCCGAAAGGAGAATTCTCTTTCCAAATCAACTCTGGACTTCCCGAAATTCAATTCCAACCACGCGCACAAGTCATAATACCTGAAATGAAGATGCTCGCGGCCTCAGGCTGCTGAATGCTAGAGCTCAAAACGACTGGTCGGGTCGTTACATTGTAGGCTGAATCAGTTGTAAGCAAATGCATACACGTACTGAGTTCTTCATCTGAAGTTACAACCATTCCTTTGCTTGTATTTAGTTTGATATCAAACCATACTTTTAATGCATATATGGTTGAATCAATATTTACAACTTCACTAATTTTCTTCAGGAAACTATTGAATGATATGTCCTTATCAAGTAGAACAAGTTTTGTATCATGATCCAAGTATTTGTAATCAGGAGTCCAACTCCTATTGAAAGTTATAACAACGCAAATCGGATTCATCCTGTAGACTGTAGTTTTGGTTAAAATTCATAACAAAAGTGTCAAATGTAGGACAAAAACTTCAGCTCATCACTAAATACATTAAATAAACAAAAGCTTTACGACAAATACTATTGAGTCCAGGACAAAAACTTCAGCTTATCAAGTGCTGAAATTTTTAGAAATGAACTAAATAACTTCAGGACATTGAGCTGAAGTNAAAACCGCGATAAACAACAAAGTGTGTGTGGGTATAATGTGATAGATAAGACACTAAATTTACAAAAGAATTCTTGGTTCATAGAAGTTCTAAACTTCACCAATTATTCTGTGAGTTTAATCTTATTTTATCTAGGTCTGGTTCATAGTCCAAGAGACACCAGATGCGACGCATTATGCTCATTTGTGAAAATCCAGCAAATTTAGTCTTATCTTATTTTATTATAATATTCTTTTTGAGCTATGTGGGGGATTGTTGAGACCAAAATAGTTTTAATATCTCAAAAAGAATTGTTTAAAATTATATCTAGGTTCATTCTCTTAAAATAATATTAATTGGTCTTATTACAAAATGCAACTGATGGCATAATTTTCAAATTACAAATTTAATATTTTAAAACTGATGATTGGAGGCCATAACTATATTTTAATGCTAATAAGTTTAACGTTATGGACTTAAGTCTTAATGGTTTGGTATCCTTTATTGATTTTACCGTTTCTTAACAATATAAATCTATAGCCTTAATGGTTTTTGTTAGTTTTTGTGATACTGACCATCTTATTCCTTTCTTATACGTTACTTTGGTTTTTAATGTATTGTAATTGAAAAGCTTTTATGGCTTGGAGGTTTCTTCATTTTCAGATTGTTTTTTGGACTATATATATAGAGAGAGCTATCAACTTGTGTTAATAGTAGTAGTGTGAAAATAATAACAACTTTTCTTCTTCTTTCTTTGGTGCTGGGTTTTCTTCTTATAAATCTTTGTTGTTTCTGTTCCTAGTTATACTAGAAGAGCTTGTTGAATCATGGGGGATACGCCTAATATTATTCATCTCAGTGTGGGCGAAATATCCTTAAGGACAGTGTCCTTGACACGCCTCAAGCTAAACCTTTTATTCTCCGTAATCATCCAATTTTTCCAACAATGGGTACCTTATAGCTTTAAATGTTTCTTGTGATTCACATGGCATCATCAAATGATACAAGCCTTAGATAAGAACATACAACGCACTAGAACGCCCTTGTTGACGATCCTTTACTCCTACAACATCTATGGTTCCTCGAATAATGTGATATTTCATATTGGGTAAATCTTTAACCTTTCTCCCTTTTACTAAGACTACAGAATATATATTCTTGTAAATTATTGTCAATACCGAATATATAAGTAGTGATTTCAAATTCAGAAATTAATCATCTGGTATAAAACAAACAAAAATGACTTTACTACTAGGTCATTTCTAACTTGAATAACCATCAAGATATTAACTCATATTCTCAAGCGCATTTTGTGAAGAAAGTTTGGAGGGTGGGGACGATAACAGCAAAGGTGATGATGATGGGTAAGGATTTGGTTACTTGAGACATAAATCAAATTACAGCTAAAAATCTGTAATTTATTAGTGAAGTACATTCTATATGTTTGATCTCCTTCAACATTAGTGCACTTGCGTTGGTGGTTAGAACAAGAAAAATGGTGTTAATAGAATTTTTATATTGAAGACACGTTTGACCAATCATTCGAAGAACATAAAGAACTTTTAATTAATAATATTATCAGCAAGATAAAAAAGATATTAATCATCGTTTAAGGACATTATTCATTCGAACAAATTAACAAAAAGATTGACGTTAGTTGTCGATTTCTCTAAGTTTCAAGTACTCCGTGATGTATGAGATTTCTTTCGCCTTTAATTAGAGATTTTGAGTTTTCATATGAAAAAAACTCACAATAAGTATGACCTCGTAAATTCAAATTAAATGGACTGGTATATTCCGTAAATGGTTATAAAAAAATGGAAAAAAATAGGTGGGTTAGTGAACAATATGGTGGAAAATATAGGTGTTCGTCGGTCAGTACGGTACGGTATTTAGACATTTCGGTTCGGTATTTTTGGTATTCAGTTTCCTAAAATGCTATACCAATACCGTACCTAATTAAAGTCAGTATGGTTCGATTCTTCTCCGTTCGGTTTATTCGGTTTGAATATTAACTAGTGCATAGAGTCATAGCCAGTAGTATACTTAATTAAAATACTCAAAAGTACAAAACTAAAAATGTTTGTCGATAAAAGTTTTGTCCAAAACAAGCAAATATCGACTCAGTGATAGAAAATTGTACATAAAGGAATAAATTTGATCATTAGAAATGTCTTGTTACTTGCTTACATTTAATTGATGAAGTTAGACAATAAAAGAAAGTAAAATTTTAGACTTTTATATTTATGTTGTAATTAATAATATGTGTATTATGTAATATAATATATATTTCGGTACAATATCGGTATTTCAGTATTTTATTTTAAATACCAAATACAACACCTAATATCAATATTTTTTAAAATTTAAACCAAATATCATATCAAATAATAAAATATTGAATACCAAATACCAACATTTTTTATTTCAATACGATAATTCTAATATTTACCAAATTAAACACAATCCTACCGGAACATATATGATTAATAATTTTGCTTCCATCAATCCTTTGTCAAAGCCACGTTTTCTCCTGCCTTTATTGCAAAAAGAAAAAGAAAAAGAAAAACACAGCTCAAAATTTAGAGGGTTGTCATTCCCTCCCCTAAATTTAGATGACTGAAGCTCAGGCTCAGCGCTTGGAAATGCAACTGAGCCACCGTATGAAAGCTCCTCCTCCGTCGCTCTCCGTAGCCTTCGCGGTCAGTCAATAATTTATTCTGTGTAATAACCAAATTCTACATTGAAAAACTAATCTTTGTTTCTTTCATGTTTTCTTGTATTCTCTTTCTATTGCATTGTCAACTTAGTTATGGAATCTCAACCCTTAAATTTGGAAAACGATGCAATGGAGTTCGATGTGGGTTCTGGTGAAGAAGAAGAAGAAGACTACAAGCACATCTCATCTGCCTTGGATTCAGGAGACCAGTGCTCTTCTTCCGACCTAGAACCCTATGAGGGCATGGAATTCGAATCTGAGCAGGCTGCTCGAATTTTCTACAATTCCTATGCACGCAGAGTCGGGTTTGGGACTCGGGTCAGTGCTTATCGACGTTCACGTCGCGATAACACTATTAGTAGCCGCCAATTGGTGTGTTCCAAAGAGGGCTTTAACCCTAGGCCTGATGAACAACACAAACCCAGGCGTCAGCGAATTGTCTCTAGGGTCGGTTGTAAGGCTCACTTGACTGTCAAGAAACAGGCTTCTGGTAAATGGGCTATTACTACATTCGTCAAAGACCATAATCATGAGCTTGTACCCCCTGATCAAGTCCACTTGCTTCGATCACATAGGCATGTCTCTGGTCCTGCCCGCAGCTTGATTGATACCCTCCAAGCTGCTGGTTTGGGCGCTACTCGTGTTATGTCTGTCTTAATTAAGCAATCTGGTGGCATTAATAATGTTGGTTTCACTAAATCTGATTGCCAGAATTATATGAACCAAACCAGGCAGAGGACTCTAGGTACTGGTGCTCACTATATCCTTGAGTATTTGAAGCAGAAGCAGGCTGAGGATCCCGGTTTCTTTTATGTTGTTCAAGGTGGTCCATCAGGGAACATCTTTTGGGCCGATTCAACCTCCAGAATGAATTATTCTTATTTTGGAGATACTGTTACATTTGATACCACTTATAGGACTCAGCGATTCCGGGTGCCTTTTGCCCCATTTATAGGAGTAAACCATCACTGTCAACCAGTTTTATTTGGCTGTGCCCTGCTTCTCAATGAATCAGAGTCATCATTCATTTGGCTATTCCAAAATTGGCTTGCTGCAATGTCTGGTCGCCATCCTGTTTCTATAACTACTGACCACGATAGGATCATCAGGTCAGCAATTGCAGACGTATTTCCAGGCGCTCGTCACCGCTTTTGCAAATCCAATATTTTTAGACAAGTACAGGAGAGGCTCGCGCATTCACTCCAGTCATTTCCCATTTTTGAAGCAGAATTCCAGAAATGTGTCAATTCGGCTGAGACAATTGAGGAGTTTGAATTGTGCTGGGAGTCCCTTCTTGGAAGATACAATCTCAAGGATGACGAATGGCTTCACTCGATGTATGATGCTCGACAACACTGGGTTCCAATTTACCTTCGAGATACATTCTTTGGGGAGACATCTATTGCTAAAACTAGTGACTGTACAAACTCATTCTTCGATGGATATATAGATGCATCGACTAACATTCACATCCTAATGACTCAGTATGAAAAAGCTACTGCCAGTAGACATGAGAAGGAGGTAAAGGCGGAGAATGATACCATAAATATTTCTCCTATTTTGAAGACCCCATCTCCCATGGAAAAACAAGCAGCTAATCTTTATACAAGGGAAATATTTTTGATGTTTCAACAAGAACTAATGGAGACTTTGGCTTACCCTGCAACTGTAATTAATGATACAAGACCAGATGTAGTGTATCAAGTGGCAAAGTTTGGAGAGGACCATAAAGTTCATTATGTCCAATATAATGTCTTTGAGAAGAAAGCTAGCTGCAGTTGCCAATTGTTTGCCTTTTTAGGTATTCCATGTAAGCACATTTTAGCTGTTTTTAGAGTGAAAAACATTCTGAGGCTTCCATCTCACTATGTACTAAAACGTTGGACAAGAAAAGCCAAGAGCGAGGTTGTATTGGATGAAGACGATCTTGGATTGCCAAGTAGTCATAATGAGTCCTTCACTGCCCGCTTTGAAAAGTTAAGCCTAGAAGCAACTAAATATGTCAAAGAAGGAGTGGATTCGGAAAATGTGTACAAAGTTGCTATGGATGCTCTACGTGAAGCTTCCAAGAAGGTTGCAGCTGCTATGTGCAGTACTCCAGCACCACCGAAGAGTCTAGACAGGAACAAAGCAAAGGAATTCAACTTGAATGGAAATCAAGCTGGCTGTGGTGACTCCTGCTTGGTGGTAATTTCTTTCATTTTGAAATCTTTCAGCTCCACCCAGAAGTTAGTGGGATGTTGTTTCTGCTGGTGTATGTCATGCATACTGTCTTCACTGCAAATTCATATTCACTTTTTTTTCCCTCCTACTTGATGATTGAGCATTGTAATTGTGTGAGCTTTTGGTATCATTCGATTTTTATTGTAGATAACCCAATTTCTTCTGGATATGCATTAGTACTCTGATGATCATTAGGACTCATCTTCCATTGTCTGTAAATTCATTTGGTTGACTACTGCTTGAAGTCCCATGCCTTCTACTCCCAATTAGAGAAGTAAAAGCATGGACGTGAGTGGATCCTCTTTGTTAATTCTGCTGCTTCTATGTGCAAAAGCTCAACTACATGGTGCTCTCAAATCTAATGGTATGGAAGTTGAAGTAAATCAGATTGATTGTCTTTCCTATTTTACCTAGATTGTATGCTTTAACTCTGTAATTTTGCTAAATTGTACACCGTAACTTCCATAAATTAGTTCTTCGCTGTGAATCAGTGGCATTCACTACACCCAAAAGCATCACCTAGCAGTTGATAAATTGTGAACTAAGATCATTGGAGAACAGGGTACATATCCCAGAAGAGGCAAAAATGTCCGGTGGTGTCTTCCCATCTAAGCCCTGACACAAGGAGTTACTGTGCTTGTACTAGTGGAAGGGTGCAAGTACATCATAAAATAGTCGATGTGCTAGCAAGTTGGTCTAACCACCATCGCTATACAAAAAAATGAAAAGGGAACAATGGCATTCCCAAGATTTATTGCTAGGAAGAGGGGGGTTTGGCACTTGGAGTAGCAAGGTTCTATAGGAAAAGGACTAGCAAATTTGATAAAGATTGGGGGAGGTCAAAATTATTTATTATTTAAAAATGTTATTTGGAACTTTGAAAAATTTTAGGATCCAAAATAATGAAAAAAAGTTTGTACTTTGGGGGGTGGGGGTGGGGGTGGTAGGGGCCCCCAATCCGTCCCTGTTGAGAATTTAAAGAGGTCAAAATGCTAATTAGCGAAACAAAATTGCCATTGTTAACACCAACATTGTAATTCTTTGTACCTTAT